TATTGAGGAATTACTAAGCCAAAATAACAAAGAAAATGGAAATATGGAGATTTCTATTTTTAAAAGTGGCTAAGAGGCTGATCAGTGCTTTTGACAGCCTCACAGGGCTAGGTTAGAATCAGAAAACCTTTTCTTAAGGCCGGATAGTAAATGATGTTTTACTATTTACAGATATTTTAGGGTTGTAACCATATAGTTTCTGGTTCTCTGTCATAATTACTCCTCTACCCGTATAACACAAAAGCAGTCACAGAAAATACGTAAAGATGTGAGTGTGGTTATGTTCCAATAAAACATTATGTATGTGAACAGGCAGCCAGCCTGTAGGCCACACGTGGCTGAATACTAAGGTTAGGAGGCAAAAGTCAGAGTTCAAAGCAGCTGGTTGTGGAGGCCTGATGTCACCTCGGTTACTAATAATGACTCATTTCATGAAAGGTTTTATTCACCAATAAAGTATAACTATTATCATTTGCATGCTTAATGTAACTTCAAAATATATAAAGCAAAAATTGACACAATGTAGGAAGATAGCCACATTTCCAATCATAGTGGGAGATTTTAACGTATCTCTTGTAAGCAGAAAAAACACCAGGAAGACTATGGAAGGCTTAAAAGACACAATTTGACTTACTTTCCATAAAGAGAACGTTGTAACCAATAATCTTTGTTACAATCACATCTGAAACATTTACAATAATTTATCACACACTAAGCCACAAAGCAAGTATGACAAATTTCAGAGAACTGGAGATATACAGAGTATATATTTTGGCTGAAAAGCACTCAAGCAATAAAGTTTTTAAGAATAACTAGATGATCCTTATATTTTTGGAAGTTAAACAATACATTTCTAAATCACCCTCAGGTCAAAGAAAACATCACAATAGAAATTATACAATCTTGGGAATATTTTGATGATGTAAATAAAATGTGCGTGGATAAAGCAGTGCTGAGAGGAAAATTTGTAGCATTAAGTGCATATATTAGAAAAGATAGACAGATGAAAATTAATGAGCTATGCATCCATCTCAGAAAGTTAGAACATGATCAAAATAAACCCAAAGAAAATAAAAGAACAGAAGTTTAAAAGACAATAGAAATTAATGAAAAGAAAACAAGCACACAGTGAAGACTACTTACAAAGCCGAGGGTCAGTTTGTTACTCAGAGATCTCATACTTTATAAGTTTCTTCAGCAATAGAGTGGAAAATCCCTCATGTCTCTCCCTTCTCTCTCTCACTGACACTCACATTGAGCCTTGAATACAAATAATTCAATTAATATTATTTGAATGAGTGACTTTAGTCTACGAACCAAAAAACAAACTGTCAAACAAAGAGATAAACTTCACACGGGATATTTGTGTGTCGTGTGTCTGTGGGCACATGAGTGTCTGAAAAGCTGTCTAAGCCACTGTAATAGAATATAAAACTGAGATCAAAGAGGAGTTAAGTTCCACATAATTGGGGTCAGACATCTCCACCAGGGATTACTAAGTGATAGCAAAACCAGCTGCATTAAATCAACTATGATTCTCTAACTCGGGGGTCAGCCAACTTTTTCTGTAAAGGGCCAGGGAGTAAATACTTAGTGTTGTGGGTCACATGGTTTCTGTTGCAATTATTCAACTCCGCCACTAGAGCCACAGACAATGTGTGAACTCAGCTGTGTTCCAATAAAACTTTATCTGCAGCCCATGGCTGTAGTATGTTGATCCCTCCTCTAAACATTCCTTCTGCCCCAGTAGAAGTCTGAGTCTGAAGAGGGCAACAGAGCATTGTCATAAATGTGAATCAGCAGCCTAATGGGAATGCTATGGCTGCCCACCAAGTGAGGGGTGAAAGAATAACTTGGAAAAAATGAGAGAGTATGCAAAAAGGGAAGACCGGCCTCTGATACTCTGGCTAGATCTCTCCCCAAGGAGTGAATTTATGGCACTGTGCTTCATCTAGGTGAGCAAGGAAAGACCTGGAGAAAGTTGGAAGGCAGAGAGAGGTGGCACAATGGAGAAAGAAAAGCAGCAACTGTTTGGTGTGACAAAGATATGTGAGAGTCCCCTGGCTCCAGGGGACACAATGGAAGGAAACTGGACATGATCAGTTCTGCCCTAATTTTACCAAAGAGGGCTTGCAGCCTGGCATGAAGACTACCCAATCAGTTCACGCCAGGTCCGGACTCCCAGGTCAGAGAGTTGCACAGGCCGTCCCAAACACGCAGGCCACACCCCGCGGGCGTTGGTGACCTGCCATGCAGTAGGTATCCACAGCCAGTGAAGGTGGAAAACGGAAGTAGTCCTAACCAAGGAGGGGCCAAGTCAGCAGCCAGATTATTAAAATCTTCAGCTGTTCCTGAGAGGAGGGAAGGCAGGATGGGCTCAGAGCGAGTCCCCGTGTCCTCCCATCCTCTGACGCCGCATGCTCGCAGGTGAGGGAGGGTGAGCAGCAGGCCGAGAACGGACCCTGCCTCCCACCACACTGCGGCTGCCCTCCCCCATCCAGCAATCTGTCAGTGGCCAGAGAAAGGAGGCTTTACATTAGAATGACATTGGAGTTTTCGAGGGATGGATTTTTAATTACAGAGGAAGATAACTTGGAAGTTATGGAATCTGCTATAGAGAAGGAAAAGAAGATTTAAAACAATACATTTGGGAACCATGATTATCTGGGAGAAAGGTTTAGTGTTTATGTCTCCTGGGTTGAGACTGTTTGGAAACCAAATACTCATCTATATGAACAGCTCAGCCATCTACTTAGCACTTTTGGCTACACTTGCCAGAGTCAAGAAATCAGACCCTACCAAACACACCATGCGCACACACACACCTTAGAGAAAAACATGCCTCTTCTTTATATTCTCATGTAAAGTACTCAGTCTTCACTCAGGGCTGAATTAGCTCAATGATAAAAGTGATCAGACTTGGCCGGGCGCTGTGGCTCACGCCTGTAATCCTAGCTCTTGGGAGGCCGAGGCGGGCGGATTGCTCAAGGTCAGGAGTTCAAAACCAGCCTGAGCAAGAGCGAGACCCCGTCTCTACTATAAATAGAAAGAAATTAATTGGCCAACTGATATATATATAAAAAATTAGCCGGGCATGGTGGCGCATGCCTGTAGTCCCAGCTACTCGGGAGGCTGAGGCAGAAGGATCACTCAAGCCCAGGAGTCTGAGGTTGCTGTGAGCTAGGCTGACGCCACGGCACTCACTCTAGCCTGGACAACAAAGCGAGACTCTGTCTCAAAAAAAAAAAAAAAAAAAAGTGATCAGACTTAAAAAAAAAAAAATACCTTGGCCAGGCAGGGTGGCTCATGCCTGTAATTCTAGCACTCTGGGAAAATGGGAGGATTGCTTGAGGTCGGGAGTTCTAGACCAGTTTAAGCAAAAGCGAAACACCATCTCTACTAAAAATAGAAAAAATTAGCCAGGCGTGGTGGTGCAGGCCTGTAGTCCCAGTTACTCGGAAGGCTGAGGCAGAAGGATTCCTTGAGCCCAGGACTTTGAGGTTGCTGTGAGCTAGGCTGATGCCATAGCACTCTAGCCTGGGTGACAGAGTGAAACTCTGTCTCAAAAAAAAAAAAAAAACAAAAAAAAACAACTTTATGATTTCTCATCCCACGGGAGGTAACCTGAAAACATTGCCTATGGGATCAGAAAGACCATGGTTTGATTTCTGCTTCTGTCATTCAGTAATTGTGTGACCTGGACATGAAACTTATTCTCTTGTAGCTCTGTCTCCTCATTGTAAAACAGAAGATAACATATCGTCACAGAGAGGATGTGGGGTTAAACTTTGTAATGTTTACATTTGGTACAAAGCACTTGGTACAGTGTCTTGCTCCTAGATATGACTCAAAAAATGTGTTGTCGTTGTCACTGTCATCAACATTATCACAGAAGGAGCAGGAGGCAGGTAGAAAAAGGAGATAAAAGTGGCTACAATTGAAAAGAATAATTTTGTAACATTTTCTGAATGTAAAAAAAATTTTAAATGGTAAGTAAGGTGTACTAGAGCAGTGGTCCCCAACCTTTTTGGCACCAGGGACTGTTTCCATGGAAGACAATTTTTCCACAGACTGGCGGTGGGGGGGCATGGTCTTAGGATGATTTAAGCACATTGCATTTATTGTGCACTTTATTTCTGTTATTATTACAGTGTAACATATAATGAAATAATTATACAACTCACCATAGGTTGGGAACCCCTGTACTAGAGGACAGAATTTCTAATAATTGTGATAATATAACATTCCTTTGCGATTTGGGGGATCATCAAGAAGCACTCATCTCTAGTGTAGCTTACTAAAGAAGGAAGAGAGGCGGGGCGTGGTGGCTCACACCCGTAATCCTAGCACTCTGGGAGGCCAAAGCAGGATGATCACTTGAGCCCAGGAGTTTGAGGTTACAGTGAGCTATGATCACTCCAGTGCACTCTAGCCCAGGTGACAGAGCCAGACCCTATCTCAAAGGAAAAAAAAAAAAAAAAAAGAAGGAAGAGGAAACATACTACTTTTTGAAAAAACTAATAACAATTTTAAAAGAAATTGTCCATAAAGAGATGCACTCCAATTATCAAGAAATTTCATATAAGGATATATAAGTCTACCTGTGAAATTACATGAATAATCAAAATTATTTATTTATTTTTTAATTTTTTTTTTTTTTGAGACAGTCTCACTGTGTTGCTCAGGCTAGAGTGCTGTGGCGTCAGCCTAGCTCACAGCAACCTCAAACGCCTGGGCTCAAGCAATCCTTCTGTCTCAGCCTCCCAAGTAGCTGGGACTACAGGCATGTGCCACCATGCCCAGCTAATTTTTTCTCTATATATTTTTAGTTGGCCAATTAATTTCTTTCTATTTTTAGTAGAGATGGGGTCTTGCTCTTGCTCAGGCTGGTTTTGAACTTCTGACCTGGAGCAATCCGCCCACCTTGACCTCTCAGAGTGCTAGGTTACAGGCATGAGCCACCACACACAGCCCAAAATTATTAATATATATAAGTAATATGTTAAAACTTAGTCCTTTTATCTTCCACAATTCACAGCAGCTTAAATGGAGATTCTGTCTCCTCCAAAATCCACAGCAGGTTGTGGGGAAATTTTGCCATCCAGAATTTCCAGGGACCCTTCAAAACTAAATGAACGAGAATGAGTCATTCCATTCAATTATTCATTATAGGCATACTAGGAAGTTAAGCATACTGGGCATACACAGAAGTTAGCCAAAGCAGAAGGGGAGGAGACAGAGAGGTAAGTAACTGGACACAATTATGACAAATGTGCTGATTCAACAATAGAAACAGTTAGAGACAGATAAGAGAGAAAGGAGGGGGAATGACACAGAGTGGCTTTGGTAAACCAGCCTGTATGAGGATGTGTTGACCAAAAGAGATTAGAACACACCTGGAACAAGAAGTTAGAAGTATCACAAAATCATGTTCAACCAGGGCATGGCCTGGAGTCACGACACAGCAGAGAAGTGGGCAAACTGGATCTGCAAAAGTGAGTGCAACTGACAGAGTGGCCAAATCTAGAGACTTCTAGAGAAGTGATATGTTTTTAACTCTTAGGAAAGGATTCTATCCCTCCACAACCCACTCCAAGGTGTCAAAAACAAAATGAAGTTTTGGAAATGTTATCTTTTTTTCATTACTGTTCAAATTATAATCATACTCACAGTATTGTACAACGTGCAAGTGTATCAACCAAAAGGTGGTCAGAGAGAGGATGTAGATGATGAAGATCAATTTCTTTCCCTACCACAAGCCTGTGATGCAGCACTAGAGGGGAAGAGAGTGCAAATGTCTTCAAGTGCCTTATCCACAACCTTTAGACTAGATCCTTGCCCGTACTATGTGATGGAGAGCCACTACATCACAGCTCCTCTGTCCACCGAAGAAGCTGCATTCCCTTTGGCATACGTAATGACCATCAGTCAAGATTTTTATATGTTTGAACGGCTCTTCCGAGCTATTTACATGCCTCAAAATGTCTACTGTATTCATGTAGATAAGGCGGCCACATCTGAGTTTAAAAGGGCTGTGCAGGAATTATTGAGTTGCTTCACAAATACTTTTATATCCTCACAGTCTAAGCACATCATCCTTGGGAGTATATCCAGGCTCCAAGCGGACCTGGCCTGCATGAGAGACCTTATAGCGCTGGATGTTCCGTGGAGATACGTCATTAACATGGGTGGTCATGATTTCCCCCTAAAAACCAACAGGGAGATAGTTCAGTATTTGAAAATGTTGGGTGGGAAAAACATTACCCCTCATTTAGAGTTTGTTCTGAAATCTACTGAAAGGATCAAATACACTTACAGAGAGTATAGAAACAGAACACATGCTTTTGTTCTACAGAAGCGTAGAAAGAAGAGCCCACCTCCAAATCAACTCAAAATCCACTTTGGTTCAAAGTATGTTGCCCTTACAAGGAAATTTGTCTACTTTGCCCTTTTTAATGAAGTAGCCATTGAGTTGCTCCAGTGGTCCCAAGACACCTACAGCCCAGATGAACATTTCTGGATTACACTTAACAACATTCCAGGTGAGTGTGGTTTCCTTTCTCGTTTCTTTTTTGCTTGTTAGTTTTCATTTTTAAATCAAGGTGATATATATTATTTATGATCTTAAAATCAAATATTATTAAATGGTTTCTTATAACGAAGAATTATGGCCTTATGCGATGCTTCATCCCACATACAGTTCCAATTAAGAAAGGCAACGATCACATTTTAGCTGTTTTTCTCTTGGATGGCTTCCATGAAAATACTAGGCTTTCCCACAGAATTTGCACTAATTTGCAGTCCCACCAGAAGTGTAAGAGTGTTCTTACCTCTCCACATCCTCGCCAGCATTTGTTGTTTTGGGATTTTCTTTTTCTTTTTTTTTTTTTTGAGACAGAGTCTTGCTCTGTTGCCCGGGCTAGAGTGTCGTGGCGTCAGCCTAGCTCACAGCAACCTCAATCTCCTGGGCTCAAACGATCCTCCTGCCTCAGCCTCCTAAGTAGCTGGGACTACAGGCATGCACCACCATGCCCAGCTAATTTTTTCTATGTATTTTTAGGTGGCCAATTAATTTTCTTTTTATTTTTTTAGTAGAGATGGGGTCTTGCTCTTGCTTAGGCTGGTCTCAAACTCCTGAGCTCAAATGATCCACCCGCCTCAGTCTCCCAGAGTGCTAGGACTACAGACGTTAGTCACCATACCTGGCTGCTTTGGGATTTTTTTGAGAAAGGCCAATCTTACTGGAGTTAGGTGATATCTCATTGTGGTTATGATTTGTATTTCCCTAATGATTAGAGATGTTGAGCATTTTTCATATGTTTGCTGCCCATTATTCTGTCTTCTTTTGAAAAGTTTCCGTTTAAGTCCTTCACCCATTACTGATGGGGTTGTTTGATGTAACCTCTGTGGAAAAGAATTTGGAGATACCTCAAAGAGCTACAAGTAGAACTACCATTTGATCCAGCAATAACACTATTAGGTATCTACCCAAAGGAACAAAAGTCATTCTATAATAAAGACATCTGGGCCGGGCGCGGTGGCTCACACCTGTAATCCTAGCACTGTGGGAGGCCGAGGCGGGCAGATTGCTCAAGGTCAGGAGTTTGAAACCAGCCTGAGCAAGAGCGAGACCCCGTCTCTACTATAAATAGAAAGAAATTAATTGGCCAACTAATATATATAGAAAAAATCAGCCAGGCATGGTGGTGCATACCTGTAGTCCCAGCTACTTGGGAGGCTGAGGCAGTAGGATTGCTTGAGCCCAAGAGTTTGAGGTTGCTGTGAACTAGGCTGATGCCACGGCACTCACTCTAGCCTGGGCAACAAAGCAAGACTCTGTCTCAAAAAAACAAACAAACAAACAAAAGACATCTGTACCTGAATGTTTATGGCAGCCCAATTCACTAGAGCAAGGATGTGGAAATAACCCGAGTGCCTGTCAATTCATGAGTGGATTAATAAAATATGGTACATGTATACAATAGAATACTACTCAATTATAAGAAATGATGGTGATCTAGCACCTCTTATATTTTCCTGGATAGAGCTTGAGCCCCTCCTCTGAAGTGAGGTATCACAAGAATGGAAGAATAGGCACCACATGTACTCGCCATCAAACTGGCACTGACTGATCAACACTAAGGTGCTCACACAGCAGTCATATTCTTTGGGGTTAGGGGGGTTGGAGGTGGGTAAACACAAAAGTAATGGATGTGGTGAGCATTGTAGGGAGGGGGAAGGGCATGACTCGAATCATGGCTGGGATGTGGCAAAGTCATAGCATGTAATAACCAAAATGTTCGTACCCCCATAATTTCCTAAAATAAAAAACAATTAAAAAGAAAAAGAAAAAAATATTAGGCTTATCCTGCCATTTCTTGATATACCAAAATGAACATTAAATAGCAATACCCTGTGATAGTGGTTGAGAATTAGGTTTGAGTCCTCTAACCACAAATTTCCTTCACCCATCTCTTTTAATCTCATGATTTTAAATCAATTATCAATATTTGTTATCATCACCATGAGGCTATTGTTCACAGCTGACAAGCACTTTACTAGAATTACTTTTACTTTCTTCTAAACATTTTGTTTTTCCTGAGGTTGATAATTGTCTCAGGTTTTTTTTCTTCAGCTATTTATTTTTATACACATACTTTTCACTAATTATTTCAAAATGCTTAAACTCATCAGTCAAGTAAATGTGACTACTTGTCAAGTGTTCAACTCTATCAGTTCACATTTCCCTACATTGTCTCTGTAGGCCTATTGTCGGTTTTTATTTAACTGGGAACTCTCTTCCTCACTATTATGTTGAATCTTATATTCCATTGAATATATAGTATCTATTTTTTAAATCTATCTTCATTATCTGTCTTGAGATACTTAAGAATTGAATAATATGACATCACACATTTGCTTCAAATAATCTGAAGGTGGGTGGGGAAATGAATCATCAAAGTTTTTCTAACTTTTTGTATTAGGTGTTTATTTCATTTATTTTTATTCTTTCTTTTTTATTAATGTACTTACTTATAGCTATAATTTTCTTCTGGTCACTGAGTTAGGTATAAGATCCTCATTAAGTTCTAAGTAGGCCTTTCATCATTTTCCACATATTGTCCAATTCTAATTTTGGTTTCCTCTTTGACCAAAGAGTTGTATAAGAAAAAAAGTTGTCTTTTTTTTAAGTTTCAAGTGGCATTTTTAAAATTTCTGTTGTGTTTTTTAAATTAATATTTGGTTTTTCTCTTTTACTTCATTTGATCACAGAATGTTATCTGTATTATTTCTACTTTGAGAAAGTTTTTTTCTCTGTGGCTTCATCTAGGATCAGTTTGAACAAATATTTTATGGACATTTGAAAAGGATATGTATTCTTGGCTTCCAAGGTATAAGATTCTACATATATTCATATAAATAATATACCTTATTTAGTATGTTATTTAGGTATTATAATTCTCTTGTAGTCTGTTTACTTGCTCTGTCAATGTTGAATTAAGGTAAAGTAAAGCCTACAGCAACTTTGTTTCTCAAGTTTAAGCTTCATGAAGAGTAGGTGCAGAGATATTAATGAGTATTCTACCTTCACTGAATTGCATTCTATTATATTTGATGCTTTTTGCCCTGAATTTCAACTTTATTTGACGCTGACATCATGATTCTCTTCGATTTTAGTTTGCATTCATCTAATAATACATCTTTTCTCATTTTTTTTAAGAGTTAGGGTCTTGCTCTATCACCCACGCTGTGGCCTGATGACAGCTTACTGTAACCTCAAGCTCGTGGGCTCAAGCCATTCTCCTGCCTCAGCCTCCCAAGTAGCTGGGACTACAAGTGCACGCCACCATGCCTGGCTAATTTTTTAACAGTTTTTATAGAAATGGGATCTCACTGTGTTGCCCAGGCTGGTCTTGAACTCTTCTTGGCCTTTCAAAGTGCTGGGATTACAGGTGTGAGCCACTGCACCTGGTCTCAGTTTTTAATTTGTGTACAAGAGTCCAGTAAGGAGACATAAACCCTAACCCCAATGTGAACAGAGAAAATTTAATACAAATATTAACTAATAATAGGGGATTAATTACTAACGGCTAATTAGAACTCTAAAGAATACAGGAATGGCAAACATAGGGAGTGGCTACCACCCTAAGGCCAAGGCAGAGCACCCAGGAAATGAGCAAGCTTGGAAAGAGCTCTCCCCAAGGGTAAGGTCCAGAACTCATAGAAGAGGGAGCAGCTAGGGCCCGTTAGATGGCCAAGAAATTTGCTAGGGTGCCACAGGCTGGGGCTGGCAAGCCAGAAGCCACCAAGTGTGGTGCCAGCAAGACTCAGTCACCTGCTGGGACACCTAAAAAATCTACTGGGAGCCATCTGCTGGACTCCCGCTGCAAATCGATGGGAAGCCCTCTGGTGGGGTACCACTGAGCCATTCACTAGGATGCTGGTGAAATTCTCTAGGAAGCTGCTTGCTGGGATACCTGCAAAATTTGCTAAAGAGTGAGCACTACTGGGTGCCCTTCAGCCTCACTGGGGTGCTGCTGTGAAACTTACTGGGAGGCTACTCACAGGGTGTCACTGAAGCTCACTGAGAATCTGCCCTCGGAGGTGTTGCCAAAATTAGCTGGAAAGCCTGGCAGTGCAAGCTACCAGAATCAGAAAGAAAAAGCCTGTCTGAACCAGGAAGAGAAACACTTTCGTCTTGCAGGGCCCCTCTGCTGCCTTTCTGACAAAACAATCTGTGAGCTGACAAAAGAGAAACGTTTACAGGATCCAGCTCCGGTGTGACAAAGGAGGATGCTTGTAGAGCTGAAAAGCAATAAATCGATAACCAGCACAGCCCAGCTCTTTGGCTATTCAGCTCCCATTTGTGTCCCTACACTCACCTGAACTTCCTTCCACGCAACAACAAAACAAATCTGTTTCCACCTGAGACACATCTACCCTTTGTGTAAGTGAAGAATTCTCATGCTTTCTCCCAAATTAGGAGACTCCCAGTCTCAATAGTCATTGCATCCACACCGGCTATATCAACTATTTTCAAATGCAGTCACAGTCCAACTGAATATTCTGTTACCTAAAGAATATACCAATAAAGTTAACATCCCACAAATGACATATACAATAATGGGAAGAAGAGAGATGAGAAATGGTTAGCATATATAAATATACATAAGCAAAAAGAAAACACGGAAAGCTGCTACAGTCCTCACTTTTATAATTGGCCACAAGGCTGTTCCGTCACATCTGTGGCGTTCTTGCTCCACTGCTTATTTCATATTTTCCTCGCTTCAGTGAGACATCAGCTGCTCAAGCTTCTTAACCTGGTCGGGTGACCCAGATAATCTGTCCTGTAATGTATGAGTCTTCAATAATCTTGCCTCTTTCTGGTTGCTGTAGTTTTCTATTACTATTGAGCATGGAAGTGCCAAGAGATACCCTCCAGAGAATTCCCTGGGTTTCACAGTTCGCCTTGCCTCTACTGAGTGTGCAATTTTCTGTTGGAGAATTGGATCAATCACTCCAGCCAGTAAAGTTACTCTTA